ATTATTATTAGAGTATTGAAACAGAATAACTGAGTTAGGAGTGGGAGGTGTATCATCATTCTTGTCTCGACAAGTTAAACTTAATCACCGGAACTGGTCCAGCTCAGATCAACGCAGGTTTGCCAACTCAAGAAAGTTGCCTGCAGGTGTCTCCAAGGTGGAGCTCAGTGACTGGTAGGTGCCTGCGTGACAACAGAATTACAAAATTAAAAACAATGGGCCTCATGCAAGAACATGTTCATATTTTTATCCTAAATTTCTCTTACTTTTGTTCGTACAAAGGGTTCGTACGAACATGTCACGTCAGATTCAGCAAACTCTTCTATCTTCAGGAAACGTGCGTAAATGAGCTGCGTAATTTACACCCGTTCTATCCAGTTGCTCGTGCACGCGAGAGGAGATTAACATAATTACCACCCCAAATACACCATATAAGGCTATGATTCCTGCCTCAGAGATCAGGAAGTGTCCATTCATGAAAATGTTGTTGGGAGACCTTCTGTAACACAGTGGCACACGGTTTGAGCTCAGTCATGTTTGTGAGACTAACTGGACTTTGTGTACACTGAGTGTTACTGACAGGCTTTTTTATTGTGTTCTGTGTAGCTGAAAGACGAAAATATCAATTTCTTTTTGTCGTTTCAGTCCGACACTCTCAGTCCCACTTTGTCTCTTTCCATCTCCCCCATCATTTATATCACTAATCCAAGTCCATCTACTAAAGTGTAATTAAATTAGGCCTTTAATTTGATTTCAGTCCGATCTCTCCTGCTGCCTTGGCTGAGCTGTTGGAGCTGCAGGAATCGGGACACATCTCCTCTTCGATTGCCAAACAGGTCGGTCCTACACAGACCCTACAGTTACCCTCTCTCTGTCAGAGGACAAACACCACCCAGCTGCTGTTGGCTTGTCTTCTTCTCACAAGCTTTTCTCTTTTAGGTGTATCAGGAGATGTGGGACTCGCCGGACAAGACGGCCGCGCAGATCGTCCAGGAGCAGGACTTGGGGCTCATTTGTGACATGACAGAGCTGCACAACATCTGCCAGAAAGTTATAGATTCTCATCCCGAGATGGTCAGTGCTCGGATACAAACCCACACACAGCACAAGGAAGTGGAGAGGTTTCTGTTCATGTTTGAGACGTTTTTGTTTTCAGGTTCGTGCCATCAGAAATGGAAAGAAAACGGTTGTGAACAAGCTGATGGGCCTGGTTCGGAAAGAAACCAAAGGGAGAGCCGATCCAGTTCTGGTGATGGAGATCCTGAAACAGAAGACTTCCTGATTCCTGATTATGGCAAAAATAAGCCACTGTTTGTTCTTCAAGACACTGCAGTTTTGTAAATATTACATTTTATGAAGAACCATTTGTACCATTTATATGTATTTATGAAATAGATGTGTTAAAAACTAATAAGGTTTTTTGATTAAACCATATATTCCAGCGTTGTTTTATCATACCTTTTTTTTTTTTCAGAATATACATATTCAAACTCCAAGATGCAAAACATCTAGTGTTCTAGTTTCTCCATAGTGTTCTGTTTTAATACTTTTTTCAAAAACACTTTAATTAAAGGCTGAAGACTTCTTTTTTTCTACTTAAAGGGTTTGCACACAATTTAACACAACCTCTTTTCATATAACCTAATACACCATTAGCGTTTGGCAGACTGGCCTTCATGGTCATTTGTGAGTCAGACCAAACTGCTGACATGGCTTTTACTCAGGTCCAGCTCTCAGGCCAGGTGGCGATCACTGAGCTCCCCCTTGTGGTTAAAATGTGTCATTCCTATACAACCTGTTAGTGATGCTTTTTATTCTAGTGTAGAAATCTCTGGGGGTTCATCTGTCTCTTTTTTTTTTCCTTTAAGGTTGATATATATTCAATTTAAATAAAATTTAATGATGGCAGGATATTTTAGTACGGCTCATTCATGTGAAGTTATGAGCCATCTGTTCCCATGTGGAGATCAGAAAAGCAAATGATGTGTGGAAGAGTGATGGAATACCTCACATGACAGGGAGGACAGTAATAAATGTGTGTGTGTGTGTGTGTGTGTGTGTGTGTGTGTGTGTGTGTGTGTGTGTGTGTGTGTGTGTG